CAGCAATGTCCTCCATCATCCATGACTTCAATCGCAAAGTAGCCAGCGACGTGCGATTTCGATGCACGCCAGACCTCATCAGGCCAATAGCCCAGCGTTGCAACACCCAGCAATATCCTCCGTCATCTATGACTTCAATCGCAAAGTAGCCAGCCACTTGCGATCCCGATGCGCGTTCATATCAGGCCAACTCGTCGGCGTTGCAGCTCCCGCCCAAGTCCTTCATCAATCACTTCTCACTCTTGCGGTGACCAACGGAGATCCCATGGTGTCCTGCCACAGATCGCAGGTGACACAAGTCGCAATCTCTGCACCCTCGACGGTTCCCACAATCACCAATGGCTGTCCAAGTGCACACGAGCAGGACCGCCAAAGAAGTGCATCCTCCCATGCTATGAGTCGCCATGACTCTTCTCACCACTCCAGCCGCTCCGGCTAATGGCAGTCCAATTCGTTCTCTCAAGCGGCCCCCACAACCACGATGTGGTCTCAAAGTGAACAGCCAAGCGCATCCTTCCATGCTCTGAGTCGCCATGACTCTTCTCACGCCTCTTCCCCGGCTCATGGAAGTCCAAGTTCGTTCTCTCAAGCGGCCCCGACAATCACGATGTGGTTCCCAAACCGAACAGCCAATTGCCGTCCAAGTGCACACACGCAGGACCGCCAAAGAAGCGCATCCTCGCATGCTATGAGTCGCAGTCGCCATGACTCTTCTCACGGCTCCAGCCGCTCCGGCTCATGAAAGTCCAAGTTTGTTCTCTCAAGATTCTATAATGATTGTGACTCGTCCGACTCCGACTCCAAGCCCATTCTCCCTTGACTCGATAAGAACCTCGCTCCGGTCCGTTTCAAGTTTCATGTTCCAAAGGCCGTAGTTCCCAGAATCGATAATAGGCTTGTCTCTGATCAGTCTCCGAAATAAAACACATACAAAACCATTTCCTTCCAGAAGCCGAGTCTGAATAGTTGTGATCGTGCCCATCGGCAATGGCCGCAATGGTTAGCGACATGAATGGAGATAGACTCGGAGGCTGCATGCGTTGCAGCGCGTACTCCGACCGATCCCTGCATCCATGACGCTTGCTTGCGCTTACAACGCGTGTGGTGCTGTTCTGACGGCTACGAGGCTACAACCATCATCCCCCTCGCGGCGCGCGCCCAGACGAAGCCCCCCATTAGTCTTGTCGCGAACGCGAGCGCCACGCGCCTCCATAATCCATCTTGCTGCGCTTTGCAGCCCTCACGCCTGCCAGCGCGAGCGCCATAGCCTCACCACCGCCTACTACGAGACATGGCGGCCTTGGATCCTTGGGCAGATTCAGCGCCTTTTCCCTCCGCATCTGACCTCACAGTCCCAGCTTCCGGCTCGACAGCTTCTGCGATATCGCCACAAGCACACCATCCTCCACCTGCTGTGCCAGACCGGGGAGCCAGACTATTTGATGAAGCTTTGGATGGAGGAGCAGGCTGGGGTCATGATGACGTGCCAGAGACTGAAGCGTCTGGGCCGTCACAAGGTGCGTCCAGCCTGGCGCAGCACATACCATCTGGACATGTGTCATCTCGATCAGAGGACAGCTCTGCTACACACGGCGCAGCCATCGCAGAAGGATCAGAGGAAGACGCACTCTCTGGTGACTTTAGAGACGCTCAGGACAGCCTAGCCCCATCCGACGCGCATCTTCCTGATTCCTTTTCGAAGGCAACACCCACCCTGCTCACCTCGGTCCCTCATGAGCAGTCATCAGGCGGCACGACTGATGTTCAGCCCTCGACTACCAACTTAGAAGATGACTTCGGCGACTTTGACGACCCGCCATCCACTGGATCGGATGGACTTGCTAGCGATGACGCCTTTGGGGACTTTGACGAGGGGGCAGTCGCAAGCGGTGGGGGGCTAGCAACAACAGATCAAGCTGCGCTATCTAGCTCTGCAGCATCACAGGCATCTCTCGTAAGTCATGCTGCAGTGTGTATGAGGGTGGACAGCATTCAGGGGCTTGGGGATAGCCACGCGATGAATGCCTTCGTCGGGGGAGTGAGGTAGCTTTTTTCGCGCACCATCGTGCATAGTGTACTTTGACTAAGCTTCACGCCATCGTTAGCGGCCGACAGCGCTGATTCTGGTCCCCTGTATGCTTCTCGCGTTTCCCAGCGCTCTTCCCTACACGTCACATTGCAAAGCACGGCGTCTGATCTGGCAGAGCAGATTCGAGATATCCTCTCTCCGCCTATCCATGACATGCACGCGCAGCATCCATTCTATGAAGGCGCAGCGTCACAGCTCGGCAGGGAGATGGTAAAAGAAGGGCAGAGAGTAAGATCCGGCTTCAGGTGAGTCCGACTCGAGAAGAACAGCAGATGGAAGATGCCCTGGCAAGCCTCGAGGAGGCAGCTTTGGAGCAACGTCGCTAAAGCATCTCACCCCCACCTTCCCGCAAACGATGCACAACAGCGACAAGATGTGGTCGCAGCTGACAGTGCAGCCTGTGCTGCAGCCGATGGACTATCAGCGATCACACATTAGAAGGGCGCATCTGATCTCGCTGGGCATTCCGGTCAATCTTGAAGAGTTTGCCGCGCCTCTCGCGAGGAGCAGAGCGCTCCCACCTCTTGCGCTTTCGTTGAAGAATGCCACGGACGCAGCATACAACGGGCCATCTAGCGCGCCAGCACACTCGGGCTCTACCAACAATCTGGGCCAGGGCGCATCTTCGCGAATGCTGCAAGGTGAAGCTGCGACGCCTCGTACCGCCAGTCCTGCTCCAGCGGCTCAGAAGGAGAAGTTGGCGGAGAAGAGGCGGGAAGAGCTTGGTCTCCGCATGCCTGCTCTTCTCGATTCAGCGCGTGGCGAGGAGCTTATCAAGATCACAGAAGGTGAGTGCAGGGCACCCCATCAAGGCGGTGGCCGAAGCCCGGGCCAGAGCCTGCAACTTTGCCAATCATGTACGCTGACTTGCTGCATTTCGGGCTTCTCGAAAGATCAACTCTCGCTGCAATCCCTTCCCTATCTCCAATCTTTGACGTCCGAGCTCTCAGCTTTGACGGAGCTGGCTTCACAACACCTTACCTACCATCTCACGCTTCGCGAATCGCACGCGGCGGACGCAGAGATGTACAACGGACTCATTCGAGACTTGGTGGCCGGCGCAGCCTCCAGGATAGCGAGCTCAGGCGGTGGAGCCGCAGGCAGCAGGGGCGACAAAAGGCACACGAGCATTGGGCTGCGAAGCGGAGCGGGAATACCTAGTAGGGTTAGAGGGGCAAGTGGCATTTCGAGTGGAAGGAATAGCCCCGCACCAGACGCAACCTTCAGGAGGTAGAGACCACAGTGGAATGCATGAGAGTTCGTCCGCGCTGATCGTCGAGCGAGTCGTGAGTAGTAATCTTCAGCGAAGCTGTGATAAGCAGCTGGATGGGAGCGACTGCCATGAAGACAGCACGGATATGTTCTGTGAATTATGCAGGCTTTTCAAGGAATGGGAGGCGAGTGGAGCACGACCAGGACTCGCCGAGGTATGAGGCGCTGCAAGAAGGCACGGATCAATTGCGGCGTCTGTGATGATGTGGAAGTCTGATACAGGGAGCGAATGCGGTGGAGAGACGAGGAGAGGAATGAATGCGAGCTGCCGCGTCTTGAGGGCACCATGCGAGCGGCTCAGAATTGTACGATGGTCCGCGCTGGCCAGCCAATCGCCTTGAGGTGATCGACGACAGCGGCTTCCATTGGCGGAGGTCCGCAGAGAAGAACAAGAGTGTCGTCCAGCTTGTCTGCGCTGATGTCTGCAGGTGGTGGTGGAAAGAGGTGCTGCTCGAGTAGCTCCTTCGTCAATCTACCCTTGCCCATCTTCCATTCCGGCGAGACGTTGGGGTCGCTGAGCACATGCCAGAGTCTGACATTGGTTCTGCCGCTGGCTGCAAGAGCTTTGTCCAGATGTACTCTGGCTAGGATGTCCGCTTCCATGCGATTCGCATCAAGGATGGCTATCTCAACGTGCGCAGCATCAGGATCGCTGAGCAAGGCTTTGAGTGTGCTCCAGATGGGTGTAATGCCGCTGCCTCCGGCAATCATGGCCACACGCTTCAAATGATGGTGCTCGTGACCATGCAGCTGAATAACGCCCCCGGGTTGGTACTTCAGATGACCTAGCGGACCTTTCATCTCTATGGTATCTTCTCCGGGGATCATCTGTTCTAGAAGTGTGGTGAAGCGGCCCCCAGGAGTCTTGCCATCCGGAGATGGTTTGTACGTCTTGATCAAAATCTGCAGTGAGCCTTGAAGATCATCGCTAGAGAAAGGTGTGTATGCGCGCTGCACCAATTCTCCCTCGGCGGCGCTGCCTCGCACGATTTGTCCATCCTTGTCCCGCAGACGCAGGTAGACATGCTGGCCGGTCGGCAAGCCGACGCGCTGATCAGGTCGATCCATGGCGAAGTGGTAGATCGCAGAGTCGTGAGAGATGACGTCCTTCTCCACAAGCACAGACTTTTTCCACTGCTTGGCGTTCAGGAATGGCGCCGTTGGATCGTCCTCTATCGGTCCTTCAGTCTTGACTAAGCCACCCGCCTCGATTCTTCCGATGTGGTAGTCGCGCATTTGTTTCTTCGCGTCCATCGAATGAATGGCCATGAAATCTTCGGTAGCATCTTCGCCGGCTACAAGCGTGATGCTCTCTGAACCGCCTGGATGCTTCTCGAGGAAAGCCGTGCCGTCGTAGACATGATCGCCAACCACGAACCAGGGCGACGTCTCGTTTGCGTGCTCGGCAACTTGAGCTTTGGTCACCACGGTCATACGCTTATCGACATGCGTCATGACCTCTTCAATGTCAATTTTAGCGGGCACGACCTTTTGAGTTGATCCCTCGTTGGACTGCGCGGCGTCAGCCCCGAATTGCGGATAACGAGGGTTGGCTCCTTTATCGTTCATCCTCTGCATCCATCCGCCGGGGGCGTTGCCTGCTAGGGTTGGATGCTCGAAACGAAGCTGTTGCCTGTCATCATCCCGATGAATGGCGACTCTGAACCACCAGTTGTTCATCATCGAGGTAGCATTCCAGTACATATCTCGAGGCATAGCAGCCAAGCCTTCGTCGGTGGCGCGAATTGAGATGACGGAAGACTCCTTGAGCCTTGAGGTGTCAACGTTCAATTCCCAGAAGCACCAGGCGAAGCTCATCTCTGTTTCGGTGAGGTCCAGCGTGCCAAAGAATGGGTGGTTGCGAATGGGAGCGACGCGGTATTTGTCTTCTGGCACGTCGATCTGCGAAAGCTCCCAAGATTTGCCGTCATCCAAAGAGACCTCGACACGATGAATCCTTTTGCCGCCGCCTGTGTAAGCATATCCGCAGATGCGATAAGAAGATGGTCCAGCATGACTGATATCGAGTGTGGAGTTGTGATCAGGAGTCAGAGCTGCAGCGTTGACGTTCAAGTCGTTGATGATATACTTCGGATCCTTCCACCAGTGTTCTTCACTTCTAGCCTGATCTGCTGTGACCTGTGTCGGCAATACTTTATTATCCCAGAAGTGCAGATAATGCTGTGACTCTTCATCCGAAACCTCAATGCGGTTGAGCCACTTGACCATCCTTCCACCAATCTGCCCCGGCACGATCAAGCGTAGCGGAAAGCCGTGGTCGGGACTCAAAGGTTCACCATTCATGCCCCAGGCGATGAGCATACCTTTGCTTTTATCTTTGACCCAAGTGAGTCGCTGCGAAGTACCATATTTACCCTTCGGCAGCTCGTCGATGCCTTCAAATATGACGTGTCGAGCTCGGCCTGGCATTTTGCGGTCGTAGGGAAAGGCACCAGCGGGTCGAATGGGTTTGCAGTAGTCCAAGAGGTCCGCGAGGTAGACGCCAGTGAAGAGCCCTGTAGACACGCCTGCTGCTCCCCAATTGAAGCCTGGTCAAGTCATATCATGCCAAATGTGCGGTCAGTTGATTGGCTGTTGGGCAGCGAAAATCTGGTAGCCAGCATGGAGGCAGTACTTACCAAGACCCTTGGTAACCATGTTTTGTTCCTTGCGCCTGTTGCCGGCGCAGACCAGGGTGACAGGTAGCGTAACGGTCTCGAACTTTTCCTTGAGCTCTTCGATGGTAAAGTTGATCTCCTTCTCCACTAGACCGTGTATGCGCAGCTTCCAGTCCTTGGCATCACCTTCAGATACGTAAGGAACAGCACCGTGACTGCGAACGTAGAACAGAGACTGAGGAGTAAGAAATCCAGTCTTGAGAATGTCGACAAGCGGTGGCTCGACATTGAGAGGATGCTTTCCCGTGAGCCGAATGAGGCGTTCGTGGCGAGCAACCCAAGCATCTGGTGTCCCATTATCGATAGACAGCGGCTTGACGTCGTCGGTCTTTGGCACGGGTGGCAGGTGCTCGCCATACACGCTTTCGCGATCAAGCTCCGCTTGGAGGGAAGATGGGCTGGGTGTGTTCTCCTGTATGAGCTCGGTACTCTTGAGGGCGTCGATGGAGCCAGCGTTGGAGGAACCAGGAGTGGTACCAGGCGTCGTAGCACCTGTGCTGATGCCAGAAACAGATCTCAGCTCCGAGTCCGAGCCTGAGCTGGCTGAGTCGGACCTTAGCTCCTGGTCAGAGCCCGTCGACGAGCGAGGAGATGATAACAGCGACATGGTCGGCAAATAGGGAAGGTCGACTCGGATTGCGGGGCGTGCAAAGTCGCGGCAGCTCACGAAGAAGCAGCGACCGGAGGCACCAGTGATCGGTTGAAAGTCGAAGCCCAGCCAGCTGAGAGTACAGGACCTTCTTATGTACCAGCTCGTAGCACAATGCGAGCAGGAAACGTAGCGATGTTTCGAGAACGCGGCACAGATGATGCTCAGTCAGAGACTTGCGTTGCGGTCGCGCCTACAGATTTGAACTGCGAAGGCAAGAGGAGTGATGCAGCACTTGCAGCACTTCTCTATGTTCACTATGGACCGCTCGGTAGGAGCGAGTTTTGAGGGTTGCTGCGACGGGTGCCGAGAGGTTGTTGTTGGCCTTTGCCGAGGTGAGCAGCACGTTGGCAAGAAGTCGGCGAGCCATACATGTGCTTCGGCTGGCCATTGGGGTAAGAGTCGTGAGTATGCGTTCGCAGTTGCCCTCTTTTCAGTGGTGTCGTATCATCTCCAGCCAATCACCTGCTGGCGTGAGCTTTCGCTTGAGCGCCTGATGCTTACTGCATCATGCGTCCCCAGTCGACTGCGAGCCAGAGGAGGCCTCAAGCCTCGGTAGGTGCACAACCCAGAAGGCTGACCTCCTACGTCGGCCCTGCGGCCGAACGCCACTCAGATTTTGCTTCATTGGGTGCTTTTGGCATCGAGCGACTTGCGCTGGGAGATTGCGGTGATGAGATCAAGCCGGTGGCGAGAGTTCTGTTCGCGGCCCTGCGCAATGGTGATAACGAAGTTCACCTTCTCAAAGCTGGCTCTTTGCCCGGATGCCTCTGCAGGTAAGGCGCTGCATCCGAGCCTGCATACAGTGATGTCAAGCCGAGGAGTGCGTGAATGCCGCGGTGGCTCATACAACACAGTGAGTAAATGCACGCCTTGCAGAACTCATATATATGCAGACTCTGCCGCCGGCTCAGACTCCTCGCATAGACTGGCACTTCAACGGTGTCAAATGGTGAGGTCGCTCCGCGAGTCCAAGATAAGAAGCTCAGGCCATCCCATGCTACAGCGCAGCACGCTCACCCTCGACTGTGCGAGCAATCTCAGTCTGTCGGGCTTGATTCACCAGGCTTGGCCAACGCAGGCACAGGCTTGGCAAAAAGTGCGAAGATAGCCATAGGGCTCGCACAATCGATCTCTATGTCCTTTCGTGATTACATTCATGTGATTGTCGAGCAGCTGCCGGAAACGCCCTTCGTCATCGACGCTCGAGTCGCTCGTGACCCACGATTGCCCTAGAAGCAGACGTCAAAGTCCGGAGAGCCACGAAATGTCCTTGCCGATTCGCGGCACACGTGTGCATATATTTGGCATTATGCTGCTATATGGGACTATCACAGTTGAGCACGCAAGGCGGGACAATCAACAGCCCCGGAACGTCTTTCATGACTTTGCATGGCATGAACATACATGCTGGAGCAAATCTTCTTGCTTGCTCGTTCATGGCCCCTTCGAAAAGCCCTCGGTCAATGAAAGAGTCGCAAAGCAAGCGCGGTCACAAGTCGGGATCGACGCTCAGCAGTGGCGGTCGACCGATCTGAGCTGATCGATACATGCTTGAACTTCGTCCCTGACTCACATTGAGAGCAAAGACCCCGCGGTGGTGCGCAGACAGTCGTCTCGGACAGCAGCAAGAACCCGGCTCGCTCCTACCTTGAGAAGTCATGCATCGTGGCCTTGCTCCCTTGTTTCGGTCGCGCAGTCCAATAATTGGATAAGGTTCAGCAAGGTTTGTCCAATGCTATGGCCCCGCGTGGAAATTAATATGGAACTGTACATTCGATTCACAGCATTCGTGCGGTGATTCTGGTCTTGCCGAAATGAATCGGCCGGCAACATGCCTCGCTAGCTTGACCAGCCGCATCAGCAGCAAGGATCGTGACGCGCGCGTGCCGAAGGACGATGATTCAGATTGACCCTCGCGATCCTGATTCAATTTGCGCGGGATCCATCGCCGAATCTGATTGCTTGACTTTGCTGCCGTGGACCCTGTTCATCTCTGGCGTGGTTAAGTGCACCGAGCAGCATACAGCTCACGACTGACAAGCCGAGACAAATTAACTGCATGGGGATGATTTGTGAGGCCCTAGACAAGGGCGCTGAGGTGTAACCCTCCTTTTCGTAGATCTTCTTGATTCTCGACGTTCTTTGCGCCTCACATATTCAACCAAGACCAAGCGCCCCGGCCCTTAGCGTCGAGATTCATCTCGAACAAGTGTGTTGCAATGAGCGTCAAGGAGCACTCGTGAATCGGGACCCAGGCGGTGTGCGGTATTGATCTGTTCTGGCTCACCTTGACATCCCAAACCGAAGACGAGCCTGCTACACCTACCTACGCGCCCACGTAGGCATCGTACACCGGTCTAATATGTAAGGGAAGAGTCGTGAGTCGAACTTTGAGTCATCCCTTGTGACTGAAAAGTCTGATTCTACTCGGGGCCAGGTCACGCGTTGCACCATTCACGTGACTGCACAGCGCGCGCAGGCGTCACCCGGCCGGTCTACTCAAGACTCAAGACTCACGCGACTGCTAGGCCAAGTGCGTGCATGAGGCTCATGCGGCGAGGCTTTGCGTCTTGGCACATGCGTGCGCCTGCTGCAGCTATCTCTTCTGCTGCATGCTGGATAAGTACGAGCGAAAGATAAGCAAGTTCGAGGCTTCGCCTCCCAGCATCAGCCTCTCAGCATCAGCCCTCACCTCCGCTCGATCTCTACAGACACCCCGCCTCAAAGCCCTTCTAGAGCTGCTGCTTGTCGGCGAGCCAATGACAGACTCGGCTACAGCAGCGCCTTAGATAACAGACACATACCTGCAAACGCCATGCAGTCCAGACACTTCCTCTCAGGCTCGCGCAGTAAGCCGACAGAGGCTATTGCCGAGTTGGCTGAAGAGACCCGCCAGGTGCGCTTATCGGAGCCCTCCTACTGGGCATTGGACGTCGTGTGATTGGTCACGACACTTTCGAAGCCATGACCTCGCAGTCACAAGAGGCTCGCGCTAGTTAGACATTGATCAAATCGCAGCTCACAGCACTCCAACGGCGATGATCAAGACCACAGCCCTTAGTCATTCCGAACGTCTTCCATCCTTCAACCATTCAGCTCTGTCCGCCTCAAATTCGACGCTCATCAAGTGCTCAGCGCTTGGATCGATCTTCACAAGATGGTGCCCGTACCCACAGGCGTACACTATGACGACAATGTCGCAGCAGCACCATCGAGCACTGACAAGAAGTATCCCAAGCGATGCGTCGTCGTCGGTCTTGGTATGGTTGGCATTGCCTTCTGCGAGAAGCTCCTGAAGATGGACATTGACGGTGGAAGAGATGAGTGGGAGGTGGTCGTGTGAGTCTTCCTGATTGCTCACTTCTTCTCAGTTGCGAGTCTCAGCTGCTCACACCATGGCTCATCCTTGCGTTTGCGCACACAGCATTGGCGAGGAGCCGCACATTGCCTACAACAGAGTCGGTTTAACACAGTACTTCACTTCTAGAGATCCGGAGGCCCTGTACTTGAATCCTCTCAGCTGGTACACGAGCCACGCACCTGGCAAGCTGCAGTATCACACAGCGGATCCGGTCACTTCCATCTCACATGAAGCCAAGGAAGTGCGAACATCGAAAGGCCTCACGCTCAAGTACGATGTATGCGTGCTAGCCACTGGCTCAGACGCCGCTTTGCCACCTTACGTCTCCCAACAAAGATTCCATGCTACTGCTGGCACTTTCGTCTATCGCAACCTCGCAGACTTGGACGCCATGATCGCCTACTCTGAAGAACACAAAGTCAAGCGTGCCGCAGTCATTGGCGGTGGTCTCCTCGGTCTCGAAGCCGCCAAAGCTCTCTTCGATCTGGAGACAGTGGAACAGGCTGTCATCATCGAGCGGAACCAGTGGGTCCTCTCACGTCAGCTCGATGGTGAGGGGGGTCGGATGGTCCTAGATAAAGTCCGAGCGCTTGGCGTCGAGGTTGTCACCCAAGCACGCGTCAGAGATCTGATTGTAGGGTCACAGCAAGAAGACGACGAAGGCAAAGAGCGGATCAAAGGCTTGTTACTGGAAGGCAAGGGTGAAGATGGAGCTGATGCGCCGTACGAGCTCGACATGCTCGTCTTCGCTGTTGGCATCAAAGCAAGAGACAATCTCGCTACCCAGTCTAACCTCAAGGTAGCGCCTCGAGGTGGCTTCGACATATCGGATCGTCTCGAGACCAGCGCCAAGGACGTCTTCGCAATCGGCGAATGCGCTAGCTTCAAGGGAGAAACCTGGGGTCTGATCGCACCTGGCGTCGAAATGGCAGACGTTCTCGCTTTCAATCTCACTGAAGGTCCACATCACGCAAGTGGCTTGAGATCGATGACATATCCCGACTTGAGTTGCAAGCTGAAGCTGATGGGCGTCGACGTCGCAAGCTTTGGCGATTTCTTTGCGGATCGCGGAAAGCTCACAAAGGCACTCCCCGGTAATCGCAAGACTGGGACTGGCGCTCATGCTAAGGTGCCAGATGGCGCTCCTGTCGTCAAGGCCCTCACCTATCGCGACCCCTTCTCCGACGTGTACAAAAAGTATATCTTCACCGCAGACGGCAAGCATGTAGTGGGCGGCATGATGGTCGGAGAGGTCAAAGACTACGTCAAGCTTGTCGGAATCTGCAACAAGGGCAAAGAACTCGAAGTTCCACCGGCCCAGTTCATCTTAGGATCTCAGAAAGAGGGCGAAGAAGGTGACGACCTTGACGATGACACCCAAATTTGCTCTTGCCACAACGTGACCAAGGGTCAAGTAGTCGATCAGGTCAAGCAAGGGTGCCGATCGTTTGGCGATATCAAAAGCTGTACCAAGCTCGGAACAGGATGCGGAGGTTGCGTTCCACTCGGCACTTCTATCTTCAACATGGCCATGACCGATGCTGGCGCCGAGATCTCTAACAACTTGTGCCCGCACTTTAAATACTCTCGCCCGGACATGTATATGATCATCAAGCACCGCAAGCTTCAGGACTTCACCACCACGATGCAAGAAGTCGGCGTCAAGCCCGATTCTCTGGGATGCGATGTATGTCGACCGGCAGTTGGATCTATCCTTTCGTCTCTCAACAACCAATTCATTATGAAGCCATCGCAAAGACAGACGCAGGATACGAACGATCGCTACCTAGCCAACATCCAACGTGACGGGACTTACTCCGTTGTTCCTCGTCTCCCTGCTGGCGAGGTGACCCCATTCCAGCTCATGGTATTGGGCGAGGTTGCCACAGAGTTCAACCTCTACTCCAAGATTACGGGGGGCCAGCGCATCGATTTATTCGGCGCGCGCAAGCACCAACTCCCTGCCATTTGGACACGTCTCGTCGACGCTGGCTTCGAGTCCGGCCACGCTTACGGCAAAGCCTTGCGCACCGTGAAGAGCTGCGTCGGCACGACGTGGTGCCGCTTCGGTGTCGGCGATTCGGTCGGACTAGCTGCCGAGCTTGAAGGACGCTACAAGTCTATTCGTGCACCTCACAAATTCAAGTCTGGAGTGAGTGGATGCGTGCGAGAATGCGCAGAGGCGCAAAGCAAAGACTTTGGCCTAATCGCTACTACGAAAGGCTGGAATGTCTTTGTTGCTGGCAACGGTGGAGCCAAACCTCGACACGCAGAACTCATTGCGGAGGATGTACCACGTGCTCTTGCCATCAAGATTATCGATCGATTCCTCATTCTGTACATTCGCAATGCAGACAAATTGCAGCGAACTGCACGATGGGTGGAAACACTCCCGGGGGGCATCAACGAGCTCAAGGACATCATCGTCAAGGACAAGTTAGGCATTTGCAAAGATCTCGAAGATGAGATGGACTCGCTGGTGGGCAAGTACCACTGCGAATGGACCGAAGTCGTGCGGAATCCCGAGCGCCAGAAAGCCTTCAAGCAGTTCATCAACACAGAAGAGACGCAGGTCCACTCCGAGCGCATCGAGCAACGCAACCAGAGTCGACCGGCCGACTGGCCAGCAGACGCTACTCCTCTCAAGTTCAGTGTTCGAGACATCGCAGCAAATGAGCCTTGGGAATGGCGACCAGTGGCGAAAGTGGCTGACCTGGACCCGCAGCCAGATGCTCCCACCTCTGCCGTCGTCAAGTACGGCGACACCCAAATCGCAATTTGGAACATTCCCAACCGTGGCCTAAGGGCGTCTCAGAATATGTGCCCACATCGCCGAGCCTTTGTCTTGGCCGATGGTCTGATCGGCGAAGACGACTCCGGCAAGGAGTTTATCAGCTGTCCGCTGCACAAGAGACGATTCAACCTGGATCACAAAGAGGAGAACGATGCTGGCAAGTGCAACGACGCCGATTATTCAATCATGACATTCGAGGCGCGGCAAGAGGAAGACGGTACTGTCTCGCTCAGACTACCGTCCTCGGAGTCGCTGGATGCGCTACTTTCGACGACTAAATGGATGCTCCGCAAGGCTAGAGAGGAATCTCACATTCTCTCGGGCGGACAGCCTGGCCAGACTGATACGGAAGGCTACGCAATGACCGAGAAGCATGGACAAATTGTCGAGATCGCAGGGCCTACTGAGGCAGTGCAAGAAGAGTCGAGGAAACTCGATCGAGAGCGAAGGGGTATCCCTGAGCCTGCTCAAGACACAAGCGAGGGAGGCGCCAAGAAAGCTAGCTGCGCCGACGCTGCCCCTGGAAGCAAGCTCGATTGGTAGATCCTGCTACACGCTTTTGATCACACAGTCTGCCTTCTGTCCTCTTTCTCATGCCTTCAGATCTGCCTCATCCAACGCGGTGCCAAATTTCGTCCTCAAGCGTCTACTTCCCTCCCGTCTACCGCAGTCACGCTTCGCATTTGCAATCCATCGCCTACTTCACACTCCCACCTTGCGATTACCGAATTTGAGAGCTCTTGATGTCATGTCCCCGTCTCTGCGGCGAGTTCAAGGAACACGACACACCTTTTGAGGTTGGTTTGGCCCCTAGTATGCTGTTGACGCGAGCTGGGCGACGATCACAGACTAAAGATCCGGGTCTCAAGGCAATCGACCGCGCGTCGTCACCCCACCACACTTCGTCTAGGAGAAATCCGACAGTGGCATGACTTCTCAATCGTGGCAGTGTCGGAAGCCGTACACATCTCGACGCACTACTCCCTGGCCAGCAGTCCACACTCTGAACAGCAACTCGGCACGTCGATGATGTCGTCTTTGATTGAAACGAATTAGGTACATTCGTACAGCTTGAAGGTGATGTGTGCACTAGCGTGCAGTATGCAACTTTGTTCGTTGGATTCGAATCTCGTCGATTGATTTCCTTAGCAGGTCACCCCGTAATGGTAAAGCCACCTGCTTTGTTCGATGTAATTCTCTGGTGACTCTTTACAAGTCGTCCGAGTGGCCAGTAGTGCCGCCAGTGCCCGGAGCTTGGGCATCGGAGCAGGGTAAGCCGGGCACAGCGTCAGCGTGAACCTGAATAGGTGTACGCTCAGCGATTCAAAACGGCGCTCGTGTACTTACCAGCGCGCTCGCTTGGAACAGACTCGGTTTTACTGTTGTCAGGCGCTGGGTAGCCAGAGGTGTTGGCATGACGCACAACCTCGAGGTCAGGAGGCGGGCGTCGGTCGGAGCTCAAGACGCACTCAACTCACTCGTTGCAAGTCCATCTAGCATGCGTTCGAGGCCTTTTAGGCGACCGGCCACATCTTTGGCGCAAGAGGGGCTTGATGTCAGCATGGGCCTCAAGAACGGCCACCACCAGAGTACGCACGTCTCGAAAGATCCGCTCTGAAGTTTTCCAATTCCGTGGCCAGCGCACTTGTCTGATCCAAGCCTCCACTCGAGTCTGCCTCGTCGGCTATACTTGGACCAGCGAGCGCGAGGTGAGGGGCCTGCGAAAGAGCTGCATGCTTGGTGGCGAGTGCGAGAAGGTTATCTAGTATACTGTGCAAAATGAGCTCTTGACTGTCGACCTTCTTCTCCATACGGTGAATCGCTGCAAAGACTCCATTCATTTGCATCGAGGTAGCGTGAGGACGAGATTTCGAAGGCTCTGTGGTAGTTTTGGTGGGGCTTGTGGCATTCGTGCCGGCCTGTGGGTTGGGAGCAGGAATGGTATTGGTCATGCTTCCTGGCACAGCCGCCTTCTTCGTTCCCTTGTTCTTTCGTGCCATAGTTGCTGAGGACCGGCGCTGTTGCTCTCCAGCAATTCTGTGCAAAAGGGGACCTCAAAAGTGGTCAGCAAGAGGCGAATGCACAGCCTCCGAAAATTTCCCATCAACTCACCGAGTCGATGTGCTGCAACAACAAATGCTTCTACAGCACCAGGGAAGAGAAAGGGAGACACCCAGTAGACTTCTGCGGACGCGACTTGGCGGGGAAAGAGCTTCTGAAGGGTGTGCTTGCTCACCGAAGGCGATCCCAATCTGTTGGACCGAAGCCGATATGAAACGCAGTGAACCGCCAAAGCTGAGCCCCGTATAGGTATGATGAATTTGGTGATTTCTGTCAGAATTGCTGGACAGCCAGCAAGGTAGTCGGGATGTCCAATCAACCGCCAGCCATGCGAGTAGCGGTGTGCAGAGCGGAGGAGGTTCTTGGAGTTACTTGCGACTGTCACGTCACAACAAGGCAGCCTCTTGAACAAATCTGGTGCGAAGCGAACCACGAGTCACGATGCAGTCATGAATCAGGATCTTCTGAACGCCGGTCCGTCCACTCAGTATTCTTGGCGAATTACTCGCCGCCGCCCGCACTCAAAGATCTCTTGCTGGTGCGGGGCGGCCCTGATGGCGACTGCGTCGGTGCATGTGTTCTCTCGCCGCGGACATAGATGAGTGGCCTTGCCCATGCACATACTTCCGCTTAATTCTGACTGCTCTGATGACTACAGCAGCAGCAAGCATTCCCACGCTCGACATCCGCCGCCGCGGCACCTGCCGCAATGATCAATTTGGAGCAATCGCCCATACTCAGCATTCACATTTGCACTTCTTCCGTCAATTAGTTCGAGCCATGCTGCCCTTTTGCGCCCAGACGTATTGGATAGGCGTGCAATCGCAGGGATCATGAGTCGCCTTGCAGGATCACGAATGGTCAGGGCCCGACCTCGATGTCATACCTGAGAGTCATCACCAACTTCATGCATGCACAGCAGCCACAGCATGGGGCGATAACGCGCGCTTCCCATCCCAGGCAGGACGCTCCGTCTAAAACGCGCCAGCTACTGCATGGTGACTGCTGTCCCTCTTGATGAGCACGATTAAGCGACCAGAAGGCTCGTCGGCTGATGGTGCTGAGCACTCGTGACTGGCACGGCATGCGATTGCGCTACCTCCGATGCGCAAAGAACCGCGAGTCCGCCGACTCATGACTGATGGCCATGCAGCGATTACACCGCCATGCACGCCTCTATCGATCACAGTCACAGCAGTCTTGCGTCTAAACAGCAACCGTGACTAGTATGCATCCTGTGCTGCTACGGCTTCTCGCGTACAGCATCAACCCTCTTTTGCAAGCGCAACAGCAACTCACGGACGGACGAAAGTGGTCTCGATGTCAGCAACCAAGGGTGCAGCAACGGTCAAGCTGCAGCTACAACTCAACGC